CACGTAGCTGTAGTAGAGCGGGATAATGGAAAAATAATGGTTTGATCTGGTTGTCCTTCAGATCTCACTTTCACATACAACTGATACAATTAGGTGGTGGTGGTGCAACGGTTTAGTCGCTGTCATCGGCGTGCTTTGGACCCGATGGTCCGAGGTTCAATTCCCGCCACCACCACCTGAATTTGGTGGTAGGCAGCTTTGTTACCGTCCGGCTCAATATCACGCCTAACCTAACGGGACCTTATGTGGCTTGCCACTCCTAGTCCCGGGCTTAGGTTGCTGGTTTCCACCACTGAACAGCAGGTCCTCGTGACTATGGGGTTTACCCCGTCTTCTGTTTATCACATCATCTAATAAAAAACCTCTCAGTTCACTCTTCGACCAGGAATCAGCAAACTGGAGTTTTATTCTTAATAAAGCTCTGTACTGATAAAATCCACAAACCTATTTCAGTTTTAAACCACGGACTCTTTCATGTGCGAGTTGACCATTGTGTCAACGAATTCATTGCGGGACTAAACTGAATTAAAAAAGTGAGTTGTTTTCTGCCAGCCAGGGAGCCTGACGGTACCTATGTGACCTAGTGTCCTGGTTACGGTTTCCATGCCCTCATGCCGGGTTATAGTTTAACCACCCTTGACCTTTTCCCAACCGCTCTCTCTGGTATGCCAAACGACGACAGAGGAGATTTTTCTAGGTAGGATTAATTATTGATTATAGATTTCTTTGACTTCAGAATGTTGTCTGATATCGATCGATAGAAATTAGTAGCACAATTTGTTCGGATATACTGGCTATGGATGATAATGGTTTCCAATTTTGTTGAACTCACATTCCGAAACTTGTAGTTTTCATATATGTTAGAAGGTAATTGATTCATATACTTCTTATAACTTACGGCATCAATAATGAATGCTTTCCACCACTCTGTTTGACCATGGACCTGTTTAGTTTCATTCGATTGGCCGACTATCAAATTGTGAGTACGCTGCACACATTGACGGTTAATTCAGTTTATACCCTGTTGGATTGTCTACGTGATCATCTACGACACACACCACCGGCGGCCGAGATTCTGAATTATCAAATCCGGGTGGAGGAACTGACCGAAGCCCCGAATGGTCAACCGAATATACGACGTCCAGAAGCTTTTCGTGTCAGTCGTGAAGGAAGCATGTTCAAAGCTACTGCGGTAATGTGAAGGAAGATTATCTAATTCTACTCTCCCTGTTTACATAATTATGACAAATTTGCACTATTATCCATGGTTTACATCGTATTTTTTGTTTATGCAAAAACACCTGATCATCTAAATACATTGCAAAGCGCCGGTAAGTGTTACGTGTATCGCTATGTTATAATATTAACTAACATCGTGGACAGATTCATTTATGGTACTGTGCAACAACAAAAACAGGTTTTCACTTACTTAATCTGTATTCGGTTGTCTTATTCCTACGCGAACTCTCCGTACAGTTTTAAAAGTGTTATTATCAGTCAGTATTTTACTCCCTATTGCTTCGGTGTGTTTAGATTTGTGAAAGTCAGTTTCAGGTCAACTGGTGGATTCGTTTTCGTACTTCATACAGTGTGCTAAATACAGTATCATACAAGGGACAGTGTATCGGATTGACGTCCAGTGAGAGTGACGCGCAGAAAACGACCCCCAAGTCTAAGCAAATACAACACGAGTTCGGTAATTTACGTGTAATATGGATACGGATAAACGGGCAACATGTAAAATATACCTCAATTTATGAACAATCCGGCTCAGAAATCAGGCAGGATAAATCAAAATGTCATGGGATACCGAGTCAAACCATTCGCTAAGCACCGTCAGGCCATAGAATAACGAACAGCAAGGGAAATAAAGTATTTATTGAGGGAAAACGGACCAATCAGAGCCACTTAGTCCCGGAGGTATTGTGTTGATAACACGGATAGGGATGGGTAAACAAGAGCGAACAGAAATGAGCAATGCCGATAAAATGGTACAACAAGCGGAGAAATCGATACGGCACAATTAGAAATAAATTTGATGTGAAATGAGTAATTGTTCACTCGTATAGAGAAAGGGGAGGATCACGGGTCACAAGAGCCGATATGGAACGGATTTGTCCCGTATCAGTATGTCACCAAATGCATCATACTGTGAGCACCAAATGTGTCTTCCAGACGGTGGAGAGGGGATGAATACGTCGGGAATAATGTTCGAATGCTGACAGTTGTGGGGATATGGGTTTTATCATATCATATCATATCATATCATATCATATCATATCTTATCAAGCTGTATGCGAATAAAGTGACAAGTGCTGACAGTTACGGGTAAACAGATATCCATGTGTCCATTGAAGCGTCTCAAATCGGTTGAGGTCAAGTGGTTTGCTAAAGATTGAATATGCTATAGTCGGGGACCAATGATCAAAGATGATTTAAACAACAGATACATACATTACAAGGGGGGTGGGGGGGGGGAGGCAAA